TACTCCATTTTACGACACAAATTAACCTAACAAGAACAAAAATTGAAAGTATTACTAGACTAAAAAAATATTCAATAAAACTATCCCACTTGCAATACAGATATCACATTTATTTTACTCAGCTATTTTACTACTTCTTAATACCGAGAATTCTAACCTACAATTATGTTAACCCTACTTCTATTTACAATACTATCTTAAAAATCACATTTGCTCAACAAATATTACGCCCAATCCTACTTCTTAGCGAATTCTTCCATACTGAATCTAAGTCCAACTACAGGTATTTACTTAAAAATGCGAAAAACTGGAATAGCTAGACGACCAAGACGAGAAATAACTCATGATCTGGCCGTGATCCACCGCTCGGCGACGAGTCAAATTTGATCCGAGTCAGACTCATTGATTCGTGTCAAGTGCGTGGAGAAACGTACAACGGGATCAAACTGAAGTTGATCCGGATCAACTGGGATCATCATCTTGATTCCGGTTGGTGAAACCGTCCCTAAAGATATTAATAAATAATGAATATGTTTCTCAGCCTAAATTTTGTATATTTAACTGTTTTATTGTCTGTAGAAACGCAGGTATATTAAATAATAGTCCTGACACCAATGCAACATTGCACATACACCATAACAACGCAATATAGAATCAAAGAGCATTTCGCTCTATGTTCCTAAGGTGTACTTAATGTTTTTCCCGTTTCTATGGTGTGTTTACAAACAGATATACATAAGGTCAACGCACATTAATACGTAACTATGGTGACAATATTTGGTTGCTAAGGTGTATCATGTGATAAATTACCTCGTTTTTACGTAAATGTATTATTACACTTCCGCACTAATTAGTCAGCCAAAGTCCAAAAGAGTTTTTAAAATGTATTATTTACAATGAACTCTTTGTATAAAGCTGGATTGATTATATTGAACTATTTGAAATATATGTATGTGTGCAGATAAACTAAATATTATTCCTGACACCTCAGCAAACACTTTACATGCACCATAACAACGCATTATTATGAATAAGAAATTCACTTCGAACTATCGGTCTCCAAAGTAGCATCACTGATGATGGTCACCTTACTTAGACAGCTAGTAGAGTAGAGTAGGCCCGTAACAGAGTACATAATATTGTTTAAAATAAAGAGAGCAATTATCAAATTACTGGTGCTAAAACAGCACGTACTTTCTCGCCCGTAATTACACGCAAAGTTACGTGAAAATACTCAAATTTTCGTATAAGAAATGCATTTATACGCCTTTGTTTCAAAATCACATGCAAATTATACAAGACTTTATTTCAAAATCTATCTTTCAGGAACAGATTTCATTATGGGGTAAAATCCCTACCATTAATATTTTAATTGCAGGAAGACTCCGAGAAGTTTTTGAACTTTTGCAATTTTCGAAAAATTAGGATTTTTAACAAACATGAGATCTGCACCATTCTCTTAAACGTCCTTCATACTATCTGACAACCAAATTTAATAAAAAACGATGGAGCCATGTTTTGAAAAATTTGAAAATGTCCCAGGGACTTCATGTAAAGTACCCCCAAAAACTAAAACATAGGTTTCAAATTGAAGGGATAGCAACATCAGTCAGATCGATTGAGAGATATCAGTTTTGGAGAAAATCGACTGGACAGTTTAGCCGCTAGCGTTGTTCACAGACGGACGGAGGAGCAGACGTTTTGACGTCATTCGATTTTTCGGTATCGAAGACCCACAATACATGGATTCTGGCTACGTCACGTGTTAGAGGATTTCTTTCTAAATTTATCAACTGGATTTATCCACTTTTTCGTTACCAGGGCCCTGTAATGAGTTTTTCTGCCAAAAATTCTCCGTTTTCCCGCGTAACATTACATAACTTTCTCTCTACTCCGTAGCGAGAAAGTTAAACAGCCAGTCGTGCAACACCAACATATATATTCTCGCATTATTTGTAACGGATACGCAATGTTAAAATACGACAGGAACATGCTTAACTTTTTCCAACAAGCAAATATTTCTTCGCGCAGGAACTTGAAAAACTTATTTCATGGCCCTGGTAACGAAAAAGTGAATAAAACCAGTTGCTAAATTTAGAAATAAAAATTCTTTAACACGTGATGTGGCCAGAATCTATATTTTGTAGGCCCTTGATCCCAAATATTCGAATGACGGCTAAATGTATCTGTCCGACAGATCTCTCCGTCTATGAACAACGGTAATCCGTTCAGCCGATTTTCTCCAAACTTGTTGATGTTCCTCAATCGATCTGGCTGATGACGCGGCCCCTTGAATTTGAAATCGATATTGTAATTGGAGGGGGGTACTTCAATGAAGCCCATGGGACATATTTTGTTGTTGGATAGTGTGCAGGACGTTTTAGAGAATGATGTTAGACATATTTTCGTTGAAAACATTGGTTTTTCGAAAATTGCAAAAGTTCAAAAAAATTTCGGACTCTTCCTAGAACTAAAAGATTGAGATTTTTCTCTTCTTGACTCTTTCTACTGCGTAAACGGAAGCAAGAAAGTAATAGTAATAATTTGTTATTAAAATCATTGAATTCAAAGCTGCAAAAGAACGAAAGATTAGGGTATTAAATTTTCCATTCTATGATACAAATGTAAGCAGATTAAATTTAAATAAATACGCATGATATTGTTTCACATATTAAACATTCGCTTACAAACACCTCTTCTACTTATTCTTTTTATTAAATTTCTTTCTTTTCTTCTTATTCATTTTAGATATTTTCATTCCCTTCTTGAGAACGAATTTCCGCCAGGGGCGGAACCAGCTGATCGTTTTGTAGGGGGCTATCGTAGTTTTTTGTTAAACAATAAACATTTGCTATTATATTTTATATTATTTTGTAGTGTATATATGATACTATACAACATTATTTTTTAAATAATTACAATTATAATAATTACAATTATATTATAAATAATTATTTACATCAATTTTTCAAAATAAAAAAAGGTAACAAACGAAAACTGTGGACATTTGGTGAGGGCATCCTCCCCCCCCC